AGAATCCTCCAGAAGTTTGTTAGCTTATTGCTGTGGGGCCAGGGACTCTGCGTGTGCATGCAGCCCTGCAGATGGCCACAGGCCAGGGCTTGAAAGCACGGCCCCTCCGGCTTCACTTTTCCTGTTCTGGACAAACGTCAAGTTGAGTTTTGACCAAGTCACAGCACTTGAATAATCCAGCTGGATCCAAGCTGCAGTTCCCAGGGGTGTGCAGAGTTGGGGGGACATTGTGCTGGATCTCCCAGGCTCCACCCCAACTCATGAACATCTCTGGGATTAGGACAGGGACTGTGCTATTTACAGGAGCCCCGAGTGATGCTCTCCTGCCCACTGAACACCCCCTTACTTTGTGTACATTGACAAAGATGTACCAGTGAAAGCTTTGAATCTGTGTGTACCTTTGTTCCCCAATCTAAGCGATTGCTAAGTAGAGCTGTCTTGATTATGATCAGTAAACAGTTGTGTGTGCTGGTTTTTCATACCTGGAAGCTGGTGTCAGCCATTGTGCTCTTAGACAAAACCAGGAATCAAGGTCAGTGGTCTTACTGAAGCAGTCATCCTTTAAAGAAAACACTTGTAAATAGAAGCATAAATTTAATAATTTCTAGCATTACAAATCAACATCTAGTTTGAGGGGCTGACATTGGGACATACCAGATAAAGCCACAGCCTGCCGTGCCAGCATCTCCTGTGGGTGCCAGTTCATGTCCTGGATGCCCCACTTCCAATCCAGCTGCCTGCTAATTGCCTGGGAAACAGTGGAAGTTGGCCCAAGTGCTTGATTGGAAGTGTGGAGCCCATATGGGATGCTGGCTTCCCAGGCAGCAGCTTAACATCACAATGCTGCCCCCTTGATGGTTTCTTTCATCAAGAATTGAGTGCCTCCAGTTGCCAGACTATCCTGAACCTAGGGAACAAAGTAGAGACCCAAACGAAACATTGTCCATCCTCGCAGAGCTTACATTTAAATAGGGGAGACAGACCATCAGCAAAGAAAAGATTGAATTCATACAAGTCGAACATACCTAATCTGAAATTCCAAAATACTCGAAAAATTTCATATCTGACATGTTGCCACAAGTGGAAAATTCTGTACCATGAAATTTCTATTTCATGTGAAAATTATAAAAGATACTGTGTCAGTACAAAGAAATGATACACTGAGATGATAGATATGTCACGGAACCCTGATCTGATGATTAAGCATTGTATACATGTGTGGAAATGTCACACTGTACCCCATAAATGTGTACCATGAAAAGTATAAATATTTTGTGTAAAATGACCTTGGAGCTATGTGTACGAAGTATTATATGAAACAACAAGGTTTCATGTTTGGTTTGGAATGATATCCCTAATGTATGTGCAGACACTCCAAAACCCAGAAACAGACAAAATCCAACACACTTCTGATCCCAAGCAGTTCAAATAAGGGAATCCCAGCTTGTAGCAGGCTACACAGTGACAGATGCCAAGAGAAATACTGTGTTTGACAAATATTTTAGTGGGAGTCTTGTGTTTCTGGCATTTTTGGCTCTATCAATGCCGGCCTTTACAGGTGCTTACTGGATGCCTCCCCAGGAGATAGTGGGCGTGGTTAAGTTCCCAGTCATAGAAAGCACCCCAAAAGCTGTACGGACCATGCGTGCTGCTCTCTCCTTCAACGCTTCTGAGCCTCTTCTTTGATGTTCCCTTTTGTGCAGTACATCAGGGTAAAGCCAGCAGGTTATTTTGGAGAACGTGGAGGAATGCTGTGGAGGTGAATGCACTCTGCAGTCTACTTTGTCTTCTGGCGAGTTGTTTTTATTTTAACCAAGCATTTAGTCTCTGAAAGGTCCAGGGTGTTAGAACAAGTCTAATTACTTTTTATTATGTTTTGTGGAATTTGAGCCCAGTTCCTCTTCCTTAGTTAGAAAAATACAGGCAATAGTACTCCTTGGTCTCAAATGAGGTGACCCAGTGGGTGTGGCCAGCCCTCCAGGTTGTCTCTCTCTCCAGACAGAGGTCCCGGGGCTAACCCAGCTTTGTGTTGGCCATTGACTGTTTGGCAAGCATGTTTGAATTGACAGATGACACTCATACAGAAAAGGGCACATGTCATAAATGTATGTGTGGGAGAATTTTCACAAAGTAAGTGTGCCAACGTAATCACTATTCAGATCAAAAACCAGAACACTGACAGCATCCAGACACCTACCCCCATGCCTTCCCTGGGCATACACTCCTTGTCCCCATGGCAAACACAGTCCGGAATCCTAAACACGTGGGCTCATTTTGCCTATTTTTGGACTTTATATAAATGGGGTAATAACATGATTTACTGTGTGTCTTGTATCTTTATGGTTTACCCATGTGCTGCAAGTACCATTATTTCCATTGCTATATTATATTTATATTGTAGAACATCCTGTAACTAATGTATCTGTTGATGAATATTTACATGGTTTCCAGTTTGGAGGTGTACCAAATCCTTATACATGTACTTTGCTAAACATGTATCTATATATATACATTTCTTTTGTGTTTCTAGCAACATTAATGCCATGTCATAAGATACACAGGTACATTCGTTCAGCCTCCACAGAGGCCGTGAACCAGGTGGCTGACGTGCGAGCCAACGACACTTGCACCTGCAGTCTGAGCAGTCCAGCTGCTCCACATCCTTTCTGGCATTCGCTGTTGTAGATCTGTTATTGTAGCCATGCTGGTGGGCATACAGTGGTCCCTTACTGTGGTTTTAATTTGCATTTTCCTGGTAACTGATGATGCTGGACATGTTTATTGGCCTTTTAGATTACTTCTTTTGTGGAATTCCTTTTCAAGTCTTGACCCGTTTTTCTGCCGGGATTCCGCCTTGTTGGTTTGTAGGAGTTGGTTACCTGCTCTGGATGTATGTTTTGCATGCAGTCTCGCTGAACAGAAGTTCTTTATGTTGCTGGGCCTCGGTCCTTTCACTTGGGGTCCTATTGCAGAAAGCTCCTCCCCAGGATCCAAGGTCTTAGACTCACATTTAAATATACTGTCTCGAAGTGATTTTTTTTAATGTTTATTTTTAATTTTCATTTTACTTGAAAACCCCTGCCACACACACACAGATCTTATTTCTACTGATTGACTCCCCAGACAACCACAACAGCTGGGGCTGGGCCATGCCAAAGGCTGGAGCCCAAAACTCAGCTTAGGTCTCCCATGTGGGTGGCAGAGGCCCAAGTGCTTGAGCCATCACCTGCTGCCTCCCAGGATGTACCTTATCAGGAAGCTGGAATTGGAAGCAGAGCTGAGACTCGACTCCGAGCACTCCAGCATGGGACATTGGCATTCCACGCAGCATCTTAACCCCGCGTCTAACGCCCTCCCCTAAGTGATTTGGTGTAGAGTGTGAAGGGAAGTCAAGATTATCTTTAGACCATTAGGTGGTTTGCTTTTGCTGAGTTTTAAAATTAACTGTTTAGTATTAGTTGCAGATAAAGACAATGGGGACTTTCCATGTTTCCCCTCCCTCCCCACCCCATCGTTGCTTTATCCATCATTGCTGAGGAAGTGACCCCAGTACTGTGCTCAGGGCAGGAACTCTGCTTTTTGGCAAGTGAAGATGTGTTAAGTAGAGCTTTGGGACCACAGTCTGTTATGAAACCTCAAGGAGCTGAGAACCCACTGTAGCAACAGTCGGCTGTGTCTACTGCCATCCTGAACTGGAGAATCCAGTGGCACGCAAATGGTTTGAACGTAGGGCCCGTGAGCCAGGGGACTTCACCCACACAGTCCTCTCCGTCAGCGCTTAGTGTAGACTCACTGCCGTTTTGAAAGTTCTGCATTTTTCAGTTTTGAAATTCCTATGTGTTGGACTCCTTTAGTCCTGAAGATTTTAGTTTTGTGATCGTTAGTCAGCATTCAAAATGTTGATACCAAGAAGCTTTTTAGAGCCAGTATTAAAGCCAGACGCCATGGGCACAAGAACTCAGTGTGCCCGGTCGAGGGGAGGGCATCTGGTGTGGGCGAGACTCCACCCGGGACACCTGCATCCCATATCAGAGTGCCTGGGTTCCATCCCAGCTCTGTTCACCTTCTCTGCTTCCTGCTAATGTGCAGCCTGGGAAGCAGCAGGTGATGGCCCAAGTAATTCAGTACCTGTCACCCCACAGTGGCCCTACTATGGCTGTTGTGGGCATAGGGAGAGTGAACCAGCAGATGGGCGATCTCTTCTCTTGCTCACTCTCTGCCTTTCAAATATTAAAAGTGAAATTACAGGGGAAAGAGTGGCCCTCTGACTGTGGATGTGAGTCTGTGGAGAGCTGTGTCCTATTGCTCTCCTTCTCGCCTCCACTTGGCGTCACCACACCCCAGTGGAGGAGGGCGAGGCCTATGGAGGGTGACTCTTCCGTGGCTCACCCCTCCAAACTTCACTGTGCCCAACCCCTGCCATGCCAGGGTGTTTGACACACTCAGAGGCCAGCACTGGTTCATATCCCAGCTGCTCCAGGTGAATCCAGCTCCCTCGTAATGGCCTGGGAAGGCAGTGGAGGATGGCCCAAGTCCTGGGGCCCCTGCACCCATGTGTGAGACCTTGACGAAGCTTCTGGCTCCTGGCAGTGGTCTGGCGCAGCCGTGGCCATTGGCGCCATCTGGGGAGTGAGCCAGTGGATGAAATATCTCTCTCTCTCTCTCTCTCTCTCTCTCCGTCTCTCCGTCTCTCCGTCTCTCCTCTCTCTGTAACTCTTTCAAAATAAATCTTTGGGGAAAAAAAGAAGAATAAAGTGCCCCAGAGAGCATAACAGTTTTTACTTAAAACGTAGACTCAGCCCCAGCAACCATGACCTTGAGCAGACATTTCAACCATAGTGAGAATGCAAGGAAGGCCAGCCCCAGTACAATTTAATGAAAAATTTCATCGTTCTTTAACCGGCCAATCCCAGATCATGCTTTCCTCACTGACGTGCAGACCCTCAGGTGCTCCCCTCCCCCACCGTGGCTCATCTTGTCTGTGTCCCGCTTCTGCGCAGTACCATGAGCTCCCGGCACTCTGCCAGCCCTGTCGTCTTCAGCAGTGCCAGAAGTTCCCCCAAGGAAGAGCTGCATCCTGCCACCGCCCCCCAGCTCGCGCCCTCCTTCTCCTCATCTTCCTCCTCCTCGTCCGGTCCCAGGACTTTCTACCCCCGCCAGGGCGCCACGAGCAAGTACTTGATTGGATGGAAAAAGCCCGAAGGAACCATAAACTCCGTGGGATTTATGGACACAAGAAAGTAAGAGTCCTCTCGCGTGACCGAGGCCAGGAAGCCTGGGGTGGCAACTGACCACAGGGGAGACCCAGCTGGGGTGGGAGGCGCTGGCTTGGTGGAGGAATTATTTTTATATCCTGTATTATTTATCTGCCTCATTGTATCCTATGAAAACACCATGCATGGATTTCACAAAAATATTCCAGAGTTTACCTTTAATTCTGTTTTTCCATAAACTTTTTGAGATCCCCTCACAGAATGGAAAGCATTTAGTTAGAATCTTGAATCTCCTCGGAAAGAGCAGGTCCCAGGCCACACCGGGACCCGCTGTGTTGGCTTCCTGTCTGTCACTGCCTTCCGACGAATTCTCAGGTGGGCCAGTAGGGCCAGAGAGAACCTTAGAGAGTGAGCCAGTACCCCTGAGAGCAAAGGCTTGAGTTTGTAAACCAGGTGGCAAAGCAGAAACTTCAGTCATTTGTGTTTTGCTTTTGTCTGTGTAGTTTGCTTTGGGATTGCGACTCTGCAGTCCTTCCCCAAGCTTACTGCTCCCGCTGGCCTGGAGCTGACGGTGTCCATGAAAGGGGTTGCTCGTCGGATTTGACCCTGTGTTTCCCATTGGCCCGAGGCGATGCCGAGGGCGTCCACAGAAGTAACGCTCTGCTTCTCTCCTCTGCTGTTTCTCCGGTCCCTTGACTTCTGCCATCTCTTCGCAGGCGTCATCAGAGTGACGGCAACGACATGGCCCCCGCCAGGCTGCGGGCATCCACCAGGGACCTCCGTGCATCCCCCAAGCCACCCTCCAAGTCCACCATCGAGGAGGACCTCAAGAAGCTGATCGACCTGGAGAGCCCGACTGCTGACTCGCAGAAGAACTTCAAGGTACGGCCCAGAGCTGGCGGGCCCGCAGGCCCACCTTGCGCGAGGGTTGGCCGCTGGCTTCCCCTCCCAGGGGTTAGCTCACAGTGCTAACAGTGCTCTGCCCCTCCGGCCCCATCTCTTCCCCCCGGCTCCTGTCCAGCCCCACAGTTGTTTCTTCTCCCCGCGGGTCCCAGGCCAAGCACACAATTTCCTGGACATCCCTGGCATGATGCTGCTTCTCGGAACGCTGCAGACACACTATGGCTCCCGCCATGCCTAGGGGCTTTAGTGCTCTCTGACCACGGGGTTGCCGTCCTGTCTCAGGTTCTGCCCCCTTTGCCTGCTGCACTCTGACCTGGCCTCTGCTCCTCCACCACACACAGCAGCCGTCTGCAGGGTGGACGGCCTGCTCTGTCCGCTCCTTCATCAGGGGTTCCGCGGCGTCTTCACTCTGCAAAGCTGCCTGCTTTGGGCTCAGTGCAGGCTGTTACTGCCTCTGCATTTCTGTTTGTGTCAGTGGCCAGGCCTTGGAGTGCTCATGGGGAAAGGCTGCTCCCCGTCCAGCAGGAGGACCTTGCAGCTGGCTGCGCAGCCTCGGGCTCCCAGGACCCGAGCTGGGCCTGGACGTGTTGCGTTCCGAGCAGAAGGTGTTTCTGTCCGCGGTGTGCCGGGCAGCCCGAGAGAAAGGACGCCCGCCCCTGCGGAGGGCATGGCAGTCACCTTTGAAGTTTTCTGTTGTCTGTGTTCCAAGTTCCATGGTTTGTGGTCTGTAGAGATGGCCAAAGCTTTAGGACTTTGAGAATGGATTGAAAGGTGGAAGCTAGAATACTTCCTCACTGTTTCACCGGCTCCGCACTGTGCCGGAGGAGGCGTGCTGGGCGGCAGAGCTGCGTGCTCGCCCCGCCTTCAGCCTCGCTCTCCGTGCAGGTGTCTGTGTGCCCTCCCCCCCCACCCCGGGGAGGGGGGCATCTGGTGTGCCTCCCAAACTTCACAGCGTACCCAGGGACCACCCTGGAGTCATGCTGAAAAATGAAGGCTTGAAAAGCTCGGTCCATCGTCTTACTAAACCATTCGCTGCACACGGCTGCTCTCGGGGCTGGGATTTCTGTTTCCTAAGCCAGCACTTAGCAGTTCTGACTCATCATCCAGGCACACATGGTTTCCTTAGCAACCTTGCAAAAGATAGTGCTTGAAACTTCTTCACCCACCAAAACCCAAAGAGGCATATTAAAATTTTTAAGTACCAGTTTCAAAATAAAAATTACCTCAGATTTTTTTCCTTTGAGGTTGGAGAAAACTAAAACCTGCCCTTTTGAAAGGAATCTTTCCTCCGATTCCTAGTTTCACATTTTTGGCAGTGGGCAAGCGCAAAGCACTCGTTCTTCAGATTTCCTCACGCAGTGGAAATAGTAGTAGGCAATGTCTGTTTTGCCCTTACTCCAGGTCGTGGCTTGTTTTCCAATGGGAACCACTGTAACTTTCCTCCAGAGACGGGTGCACTTTGTCGTGACTCTGCCAGTACGAGACCCTCTGCAAAGACAGTGTTGGTGCTGAGGGCGCAGGACTGGGAATCGCTCCGGCGTCTTTCTCCAGTCCTGTCCCTTCCGAGCCGGTTTGGTTTCAGATGAGGGCAGTGAAGCAAGTCCACACATCTTCTTGGAGTCACCATCTGAGTGGCTGTGGCTCCGCTGTGTCAGAGGCCAGCGTGCCCTCGAGGAGACTTCCAGGCCACCCCTGGCTTAAGGCTCCAATCAGCACGCCAGGCTTCAGGGTTCTGGGAGTGGCCAGCTGTGGGCCGTGCCAGCTGGAGCCAGGTCGGCTTTGTTGGTGAGCCAGCATTCATATCAGTGGCAGGGGGGCAGTCCCAGGCCCATCTGCCAGCAGAGCGGGCTGCCTGTGTAGGACATGGCGGCGCTCCCACCTGGAGAGTAGCCACAGGGCCCACATGGTCCCAGGCATGCAGCTTGGGAGACGCCGAGCCTGGCGAGCGGGCACATGGTAGGGTGAGCTGTTAGTCCTGCTTTCTAGCCAGTGCTCTTGGGTGTAGACCAGACAAAAGTCTCCTTGGGCTCCTGCTTCCCATGAGTGACACCTGTCACTCACAGCGAGGGGAACAGCCCAGAGGAAGAGGAGGCCAGGAGAATGACGTCAAGCAAAATGCCACCCCTGCAGGCCCCACTTCTCAGCTGTGAAATACACATATATAATTTCAGGGTTTTTTTTGCACCTTACAAGCTTATCTTTTATCCTTTTCTACCACTTTTTGAAGTCCCTTCATTAGAAGACCAGAGTAGAAGAGTGAGGCTCTGGAGTGCTCCCACATCCCTGCCTTTTTAAAACAAGTGGAACTGAGAAGGCAGAGTTTCTCCAAGGGGAATTGTGTGGCTCCTGGGTCCCACCTGAGCCTCTCTCCCAGCAGTGGTGCTGTAAGGAACTCGCAAGGCTCCTTGGAACACAACTGGGAGGCCCTTCCCCACCGGGATGCTCTCTGAACTCCCTGTGGTCCTTCCAGGGGCTGGCAGCAGTGGGCCGCTGCCCAGAGCAGTCCTGTGTGCCACCTGCAGGGCAGGCAGGGGGCGTTCTCATGAACCAAACAGGTGTGCACACTTCCTCCCCGCAGTGCAGCCATTACAACTTCTAACCCTACACGCCGCTCAGAGGGACCTCTTCATAGCTTTAAAAAATATTTATTTGAAAGTGTGGGGGATGTGGGAGGGAGGAGGAGAGTGAGGGAGAGAGAGAGAGTGAGTGAGAGAGCACTTCCACTTGTTGATTCACTCCCCCAAATGGCCACAACAGCCAGATCGGGCCAGGCCACCGCCAGGAGCCCAGAATTCCATCTGGGTGTCCCACGTGGGCAGCAGGATTGTAAGTAATTAGGCCATTATCTGCTGCATGCCAGGCGCGTTGGCAGGAAGCTGCATTGGGAAGAGAGTAATGAGGGCTTGAACTGACACTCCCATGTGATCGCCAGCATCACAGGCAGCCACTTCAGCTTTTGCAGCACCATGCCAAGCCCCAACCTACTTACTGCCTGAAATGTATTATGTTTCCCAAAGAGGCTGGCAGTAGAACTGGTAGAGTGTGTCTCCCCTATAAAGCCTCAGTGGAGAAGGAATGCCACTGGGAAAAACCAGAGGTGAGATCTTAGACTTGGCCTGCGATAGTCCTAGAACCTGGCAGGTAAAGGAGAGATGAACTGGTTTGATCTTAAACACTGGAGCCAGGAATTTAACATCTCTCAAGGCCACTCTTACAAGTGAGAAAGGAAGTCATCATTTCCATACCAGCTCTCCTTCACAAAGCTTTTATCACGGAAGCTTAATTTTCTTTCTTTATTGATTTGAAAGGCTACAGAGAGAGAGAGATTCCATCTGCTGGTTCACTCCCCAGATGACCACAACAGTCAGGTCCAGGCTAGGTCAAAGCCAGGGGCCCCATTCCGATCTCCCACATGGGTGGCAGCGTACTTGGGCCATTATCTGTTACCTTCCCAGGTGCATTAACAGGGAGCTAGATCAGAAACAGAGAAGCCAGGGCTCAACCCGGTGCTCCGATATAGGATACCAGTGTTGCAGGCCATGGCTTAACCCACTTCACCACAACGCTGGGCCCACAGAAACTTTATTTTCTTTTTTATTTTTATTTATTTATTTTTTTTGACAGGCAGAGTGGACAGTGAGAGAGAGAGAGAGACAGAGAGAAAGGTCTTCCTTTGCTGTTGGTTCACCCTCCAATGGCCGCCGTGGCTGGCGCGCTGCAGCCGGCGCAGCCCGCTGATCTGATGGCAGGAGCCAGGTGCTTCTCCTGGTCTCCCATGGGGTGCAGGGCCCAAGCACTTGGGCCATCCTCCGCTGCACTCCCGGGCCACAGCAGAGAGCTGGCCTGGAAGAGGGGCAACCTGGACAGAATCCAGCGCCCCGACCGGGACTAGAACCCGGTGTGCCAGCGCCACAGGCGGAGGATTAGCCTAGTGAGCCGTGGCGCCAGCTATTTTCTAAGCAAGGACATAAATATCTTGAATGCATCAGGAATTTTTGTTAAGTGAACACAGTTTTTACCGAGTTGGTCGTACCCTGGGCATAGTTATGAGTGTAATCAGTCATCCTTTCATACTTGTGCTGCAGCTGTGCATACCACGTTGGGGGTCCCTTTGGCATGATTAGCTCTCGGCCTGGTGAATGGACATCCGCCAGGCCCAGAGCACGTGGAGGACCCTGAGTGGCAGCTCTGCATCCCAGCTCTGTCACAGCAGCCTCCCGAGTGGAGCCTCTGCTGAGTCACCCTCTCTGTGCCCCTGCAAGGCATCCCGGGAAGCCCCACGGTGGACAGCAATGCTGACTCAGCCTGCTGCTCCGTCCTTACTCCACGTGGAGCCCCCAACAAGGTGAACAGCTGAGGGCTGACTTGTCAACAAGCCAGGTGCTCGCTGACTCTTGAATAAGGCCAGTCCCGTTTCTCAGGGAAGGGATTCTCAGAAGCCTGCTATCTGTAGAAAAATCGCAAGTGAAATCATATTTGGTCACAAAGACGAAAGACGTCAACAAGAGCTGCGTCTCGGAACTGCTTGCCATTTATAGAGCTGAGGAGAAGTAGTTATCTTTTTTAAAGCTGACTTAACCGTTTTAATTTCATGGATAGATACATAATGAAATAAACTCATCTGTGTGACTCCTGATGCCTGCCCACCTGAGAGGTTCTCAAGTTCACGGCCTTGAGGGTCAGACGCTCTTTCTGCCTGGCTCCTGGGGCTTTGTCTCTCTGCTCTGGGATGACACTGCTGGCCTGGCCCTGGCCACAGTGATCAGCCCACAGGCGTCCCCCAGGTACAGACGTGGCAGTGAGCTCAGAGGAAGAACAAGGAGTGGTCCCAGGCGCAGGACTCATGGAAGCTCACAGCTGCCTTGTTCTCTTCCACAGCCCGCACTGTTGATAACCCATGTCCCGATGGCGGGCGCAGGCCGCGTGCTGGAGACAGGGACGAGGGACTCCGCTTTTAGCTCCAGAGCGTGCCCTGAAGGCTGCTCGCTGGGGCTCCAGGGGTGGGTCGGGCAGGTCCTGAGGGACTTCCTCACCAGCTGCGCGCCCCCAGCCTCGTCCGCGGTGGCTGAAGCTGAACAGACTCCCCTCTTCTCTCTTGCAGTTCCACGCGCTGTCCTCCCCGCAGTCCCCCTTCCCCAGCACCCCCACCTCCAGGCGGGCGCTGCACAGGACGCTGTCGGATGAGAGCATTTACAGCAGCCAGCGGGAGCACTTCTTCACGTCGAGGGCCTCGCTGCTGGACCAGGCCCTGCCCAACGATGTCCTCTTCAGCAGCACGTACCCCTCCCTCCCCAAGTCGCTCCCGCTGCGGAGGCCGTCCTACACCTTGGGAATGAAGTCCCTGCACGGTGAGTGGGCTGCCAGCTGCAGCCGAGCGGCCGGGGGCCAGTCCTGCCTCCGCTCTGCTGAGCTTTCCTGTGACCCAGCCCTCGCCCACGCCCGTGCCTGAAGGCGAGGCTGGGAGTCCCTGCTGCTGCGCTGATTGGCCTCCGGGGCTCACACCTCACACGAGCGACGTTGTTTTTAGACAGTGGGCTGCCGCCTCTCGCAGCCACAGTAGGAACCCAGACTTGCCACCGCTCGCTGCCTCACAGGCGCCAGGATGTGGGCTTGGTGTCAGCCCCTCAGCTGCGTCCTGCCTCCTCTCTTCGCCAGCAGCATCACTCACAAGCAGCTCAGTGAGAATGGGCGCCACCCTGAGCGTGCCTTTGCCCTGGGCTGCAAAATGACTTTGACATCCATGCTCCCGGGGTCCTCATAAAGCTGAGGTCATGTATTAATGAAAAAACACATGGATTTCAAAGTCTTTTTGTACAAACTAAATTCCATTTTTCAAGAGCTTTTTGAAGTCACCTCATATATGCCTTGTTTGCACACTTTTTAAAAGATGTATTTATTTAAAAGGCAGAACAACAGAGAGAGAGAGATGTTGCATCCACTAGCTCAGTCCTCAAATGGTCACAGTGGCAGGGAGCCTGGGATAGCATCAGGGTTCCCACGTGGGTGGCAGGGCCCAGGTGCTTTCCCAGGCATAATAGCAGGGACTTGGGTCTGAGGCGGAGCAGCCACAGCTCAGACGTGCAGCATCCCAGTTCTGCTGAGAGCCAGGCCCTGGGCTCCAGGCTTAAAGCTGTGCCAGCTCCACAGCACCCTTACAGCTGAGGCCTGGCCCAGCCTCCCCTCATCAGGCCTGCTGTGGCCTGTGGTACACACCGCACGGACCCCAGCTCCCTTCCCTGTCTCCGGCACACTCACACACTCATCCACCTGCTGCTTTTCCTTCTTCTGCTTTCCCTGTGTTGCCCTTGAGCCGACTGTCCCACTTGCCACTCCCCCCAGCAGACATCACTCAGGGCCCCCCAGCACCTCACCGTCACAGCTGACACATGAGAGGGTCGCTGCCTCAAAAGCAGACTATAGACTAGAAGACATCTTAGTGGTGACCCCTCCCTCTCCCCTCTCCTCCCCGTGCAGGGTGACTGGTACACCCCTCCCCCCTCCTCCCCATGAAGTTGTCACTGCTCCTCCAGTTCCCACCACCTTTGAGTGCTCATCTTAGTTCCCTTCACTTTTGAAACCTTTGTAGCTGTAAAAATAACCTCTGTGTGATGCTGCGTCGTGTGTACGTGGGCACTGTCCACCCAGGAGGCCTGGGGTTGAGGCTCCCTCGGGGCGGTGGGAAGGGAGGGGAGGAATGGCAGCTCTGAGCACCTGCCGTCCCCTCCTGCTTTCCTCAACGTCAGGCTGCAGCTGTGGCGATTCTGTGTCCTCTAAGCTGAGCGGTCCCTGCATGGCTGACCTTTAGGCCCTGTGGGGTGTGGGGACCACCTCTGAGGAGTGTGGAGGCGAGGGGGAGGGGGTTTTGTTGGGGCTTCAAGGTAAAAGGGCTGTAGGGCTCCAAGTGGCACACAGAAATCCCTCTTCCACCTGCTTGTCCTGGCAGGAGCAAGTGCAGACAGAAGTGAACATTTTGTTTCTTGCAGTATTTATTGACTTCCTTCCATTCAGTCATAATTCTTGCTAATCTTAAGCATGTTAATAACCAGCAGCTGCACTCCAGGGCAGTTCTTTATGTAATCTGAAGGGGAAAATGAGCACTAAATGTATTCTGGGCGGCGGGCTGTCACACGGAGGAACTTTCTAACTCGTCGTAAGCAGGTATTGCTGGTGCTCCCGGGCTTCCATGGGGAGCTTCACTTGCAGCTGTGCCTTTGGGTTTGGCTGCGACAGCCGCCTCATGGGGTGGTCCTGCTGGTGGGCCCGCACGCTCTGGCTCCTCTCTCCCCGCTTATGTTCCAGAGGCGTTTCTGTTTCACGGGCTCTGTTTTCCCAGCCCCCGCCCGTCCTCCCTTTCCCCGTGTCTTCATGCACTTGAACATAGCATTGTACCTTCAGAGGACACCGCTGAGTCATCGTGCCTCCCTGCCCCAGGCTGCGCTAGGTCAGTTGATGAATTGTTGCGCTGGTTCAATATTTTTATTCAACCAACCAAACACCAAGTGTCACCTTGGAAAGAGCTCGATGTTAGATGGCTGTCCCCCAAAACTAAACCAGAGAGTTTCCTGTGTGATGGCCCCATGTCCCAGGAGGGGAACAGTGCCGACACCACTGTCACCCCCGAGCAGCCTGGCGCTGTCTGACATGTTTCTCCCGTCATCTGACCTGGCACCCAGCGGCCCTCCCAGTCCCAGGGAGACCACAGCAGCTGGGTTCAGATCTCAGCTCCCAGTCCAAATAAAAAGAAGTCCTGTTGTCCTCCTAGCAAAAATGAACACCCTTAGTGTGGCTTCCAACTCCAGCTCTGTTGAAGTAGCCTCGTCTTCCTGCCTGAACTGCTTGGCTCCGTGAGGGACGCCGGAGCTGTCCTGGGCACTCTGGACAGATGAGTCCCCCAAAGCAGACGTCACGACTCCTTGCAAAACTATTCTTCCCAAGACTCACAGTGCTGGAAGAGAGACAGTTAGGGATTATAAGAGACTGGAGGGGCCGGCGCCGCGACTCACTAGGCTAATCCTCCGCCTAGCGGCGCCGGCACACCGGGTTCTAGTCCCGGTTGGGGCGCCGGATTCTGTCCCGGTTGCCCCTCTTCCAGGCCAGCCCTCTGCTGTGGCCCGGGAGTGCAGTGGAGGATGGCCCAGGTGCTTGGGCCCTGCACCCCATGGGAGACCAGGAAAAGCACCTGGCTCCTGGCTCCTGCCACCGGATCGGTGCGGTGCGCCGGCCGCAGCAGCCATTGGAGGGTGAACCAACGGCAAAAGGAAGACCTTTCTCTCTGTCTCTCTCTCTCACTGTCCACTCTGCCTGTCAAAAAAAAAAAAAAAAAAAGAGACTGGAGGAAGCCAATTCCTGTTTCAAGGTGGGCACTAATGCTGGGAACAGCTGTTGTGTTGCAGGAGATGGCTCAGCTCCTGAGTGGTTCTCTGGTGGACACGAGCAGTGTCTCATCCCTGTTCCTTTCCTGCAGGAGAGTTCTCGGCCTCAGACAGCTCCCTCACCGACATCCAGGAGACTCGAAGGCAGCCCATGCCGGACCCTGGCTTGATGCCCCTGCCTGACACTGCTGCAGATTTGGATTGGTCTAACTTGGTAGATGCCGCCAAAGCCTATGAGGGTGAGTTCACCAAAGTTGCAGGCGGGACAGCCCCGGACCCGCAGGGCCGTGCTGAAGTAGGTTGGGTGAGGGATCCAGTCTCACCAACAGCCATGCACTTCTCTGCACAGCTGGTACCCAGCAGGGCCAGGCCACAGGCTGGGCACTTAGGCACGGGGATGTCCAATCTTCCCTGTGTGAAGGCAGAGGGTAGAGGAACCCCAGCTGTCCCTTGACCAAAAGGAACACATGCGCAGAGAGGGTCTTTCGTCACCTGTGAAGGCGTAGTTGCTAAACGCACGATCACAAAGGTCAGGCTGCTGGGCCTGCTTGGCCGCGCCCCAGGTCCAGCCAAGCGCCAGCTGCTTCTCTTGCCCAGCTCGTCCAGCTCCCGGGTGCAGGTGCTCCGGCCGCATCATTTGTTTGCAGCCTGCTGGCTCTGAGCTTGTTTTCCACTGGTGATTCCTAAAGGCAGAGCCCCAGACTGGTGCTGATCTGGTTTGCTGAAGTGAAAACAGAAAGGAATGAATGCAGTGTGTGTGTGTGTGTGTGTGTGTGCGTGTGTGTGCTGATATAATGTCAGTACCTGTCTTTTGTGAGTTAAGACTGCCTGTAAGATTGTTGCAGCATTTTTGGTGCTAACATGTGGTTTGTGACGTTACAATAACAGATGATTATTGTACTGCTCTCATGAGAACCGAAAGTTGCTGTTAAGTCTTAGTTTGGAGGAACAATCTGCTATCTGCTAGACCACAGAATTCAGAAGTCGGGAAACCCTGGAGCAGTCAGCAATTAGTCCCCGTGCCCTCCCTCCTCTGTGTCTGTTGATGGAGGTTCCTTAGTACTAATTTTTCCAATTTGTCAATTCATTTTCATATAAAATGTTAGATTTTTAATATAAATTGTTTAAAACATGGATGGTGTAGACTTGGGTTAAAGTCCACTGAAGTGGACCCTACATCTTGTGGGAAATGTGGTTTCTTCCAAAAATCCACAGAAAATGGAATTAAAACTTTATTTGGCACAAAATCCATGCACCCAAGGGGTCTTCAAAAAGGTAATGGAAGATACTGGAAAAGTGCATATATTTCAAAAAATTTTGCACCAAAATAAACCTACCTTTTAATTCCATTTCCCACAAACGTTTTGAAGTATCTTTTTACTTCATGGAGTTCCAAGAATCTTAATTCTAGCTCTTTAACCCATGTCTGTCAGTACAGAGTGGAAAGCCTTGGTCTGGAATTGGGCACGGGCCTCTCTTCAGGGACGCAATTAAAAGAGGACCCTGGGGCCCTGGGGCACAGCAGAGACTGCGGACTGACAGCAGCTGCTGTGTGGGGGGACACAGGGATACTGCTGTCCCCCGGGGCCGCAGCAGTGACGCCTTGCTTTCCTGGCACCCTGATTAGACTTGACTGTGCACGTAGACTGGCTGTTGGCTTGGGGCACGTGGGGCCTAGGGGTGTGGTTCCAGAACACGGAATGGTTTCTCCTCTCCTTCCAGTCCAGAGAGCCTCGTTTTTTGCTGCTAGTGATGAAAATCATCGTCCCCTGAGTGCTGCCTCCAACGGCGATCAGCTCGATGACCAGGCTCTGGCCCAGATGAAGTCGTACGGCAGGTGAGTCACCTGACAGCGAGGGCACCTCCCCCAGCCCTGCTGGGGATGCAGATTCGGGGGACAGGAGCCGGAGGCCCTGTGGAGTTGGAGAGGGCAGCACCAGACACTGCATACACACCCCCACGGTGGCTGCTGGCAGAATTGGCATTATGGATACTCCTTACTGGTGAGCGCCCTAATGCACGTAGGCCCACTGGCCTTACTGGGCCAGGTAGGAGGCGTCATTTGTGTTAAGAACCCCAGGCCCCCATCTTCCCTCGCTGACCCTAATGGTCGTTGTTAGCAGTGTCCCTCTTTGGGTCTGCTATGTCAGGAAGCTGGAGCCCCAGGCCCCTTAAGGTTGTCTGTGAATTAGAAAGAAACCTGCTTCTGGGGCCGTGCCTGGGCGTTAGACCTGTGCAGAGACTGGCTTTTCTGACCCTCGTTAGGCACTGCCCACTCACTGCAGAGGGTCTCCCCTCCCTTGAAACCCTCTGCAGCTGAGAGTCCAAGTGTCATGGGCACCAGTGGGAACCGCGCCATTGCTGCACACACTGGGGCTCCTGTGAGCTGCTTCTCCAAGCCCCACCCAGGGAAGTGCTGTTAGTGCAGAAAGGCTAAGAGCAGGGGCGTCCACTCCTGTCCTGGGGCAGCGCGGCTGTCAGCCTGCCTGCTGCCAACCTGCCAGTGTTGCAGGAGAGCCCAGGATCTGCCGGGTTAGGATGGGGCCTCCCCCGTCCCAGAGCAGCGTGGGTGAGGGCAAGGATCGGTACTTGGCTCTCTCAGCATGCACTGAACAAGTGCTAAGCTGAACGTCTTCAAATGTTATCCACACGCTCACACAGAGCATTCCCTTACAGAAATCTGTGGGGAGCAACTTGGACTAGACTGAGTTACTGGAATTAAGACTTATTCTATGCATCTGCTCTCCCACAATATGGCACTGGGAGAGGAGTAAACAGCTTCTACACAGCTGCCTCCAGTTCAACCAGTAACCTGCAGGAGCTGATCCCGCTCCTGATTGGAGGAGAGCAGCGTACTCGGCATGTGGGTAGCAGAGTTGGGATTGGTGGAAGAGGACTATAAAGGAGGAGAGAGACAACATGCACCAGGAACATCTAAGGGGAACATCTGAGGAACATCTGAGCAGCCCCTGAGAGAGCTGGCCGGCGGTGTGCCGCTCCCCCGCGGAAGTGGGGAAAGTGGCAGGGGGAACCGCCCCTCCATGGAGGTGGAGGGACGACAGCCAACCCGGGAAGAACCAGCAGCAAACCCGGGAAGGGCCGAGCAGACAAAAGAACAGCGCAGGGTCCTGTGTCGTTGCTCCATGAAGAGGGGGAGCGACAGAAATCAAGACAGGAGTAGTACAGGGGAGTGCAGAATGTTTGTGGAACATGGAATTAAAAGTTGATTTTGGTGTAAATTTGAAATCCATACATAGGTTTTTTATAATATGCATTTTTGATAAATTTTTGAAGCCCCTCGGATGCTTAAACTTCAAACTTTTTTGCTCCAAATTAAACTTTGACCGCTGGCAATGACTTCTAGCGGGCACCGCTGCCCCACTGTACTGTTCAGCACCGCCTCCTTGGCCTTCGATGCTTACAGCATGTGACAAGCCTCTTGCCCACAATGTGCAGTTGTGGATTGCAGCCGAGCAGGTCCCTTGGAAAAGCCATTCCTTTGATTGGTTGTTTGGAGTCATCGTCACCCTGTTTGTCAGACGCTACAGCGCTGTGCACCTACGTAGTGCCCCGTTTAGATTTTGAGTCAGAAGTCATCAAGTCAGGAACTCCAACTTGCATCTTCCAAGCATTCTGAGTCACAGCCCCTTCGCCCCAAGGGAAGACACCACTCAGCTGGAGCTCACTGGGGAAACCCGAGGCAACTTGAATTTAGCCAGAAGAGAGGCTGACGGAGGTCCTAGGGCTCGGGGCAGGAGCGTGCCCAGCTGGGTCCCTGGCTGGCTGGAGGGCCTTCGTCCTCTGCCCGCCCCACTAGCATGGCAGTATTAGCACTTGAGAAGTCACCAGAACACGAGCCAGGATGCTTTGACGCGCTTCTGAAACGCTGCCCGTTACGATATTGAGACCAGTGTTGAGGATGTGGGCGCCGGGGCTTGGCTCCCACTGTGGGAGTGGGAAATAGAGTCCAGGGCTGTCCTGGTCACCCCATCGCAGAGATCCCAGAGCGTCCCGAGGAACCCTTCCTGCCGCCTGTGTCTGCCAGAGAGCGGCTGTTTCCCTCATTGTCTCCCCTTGGCTGGGGCACGACGGCTTTGACAAAGGAAGCCATCGATTGGCTGCAGTTCAAGCCCCATTACCCTTTGTTAAAATTACTACTTTGTGGTTTTTTTAAACCAAAAGATGCACACTGGATCCTGGCCATACTGAGTAATTAGACTTCGAAACCCATTTTACAAATACAGCCTCTTCACAGGGTGGGGGCAGGGGGACCCCGGACGCGGAGGCTCCTGCCCACGTGGGCTTTGGTTTCTCTGTCCCAGCAGCAAAGACTCCTCGCCTACCCTGGCCTCCAAGGTGGACCAGCTGGAAGGCATGCTGAAGATGCTGCGCGAGGACCTGAAGAAGGTAAAGCCCACAGCCCCAGAGCCAGAAGGCCTCCCTGCACACGTCGAGAAGCCCTCCGCCCGGCCCTTTGGCGGAAGCCACTGCGGCTTCGTCACCGTTCTCGCCTGACACTCCAGACAGCCCTTATTAACAAAGACTTGAAAATGCACGCTAACGTAGTCACGTCCCAAGCGAATCCTACAGCGGGTCGTCTTAACCCTGTCTCTTGGGCTTGGGGCATCTTAGCGCCCGGCCCTAAGCTGGTGTCCAGGTGTTGGGAGCACAGGGTCAGAGCCGGGCCGGGGGGGCCAGGGCTTGGGGCATCTTAGCGCCCGGCCCTAAGCTGGTGTCCAGGTGTTGGGAGCACAGGGTCAGAGCCGGGCCAGGGGGGCACAGGGCTTGGGGCATCTTAGCGCCCGGCCCTAAGCTGGGTGTCCAGGTGTTGGGAGCACAGGGTCAGAGCCGGGCCAGGGGGGCACAGGGCTTGGGGCATCTTAGCACCTGGCCCCAAGCTGGGTGTCCAGGTGTTGGGGGCACAGGGTCAGAGCCGGGCCAGGGGGCACAGGGCTTGGGGCGTCTTAGCGCCCGGCCCCAGGTGGGGTGTCCAGGTGTTGGGGACTCAGCCTTGGGGCGTCTTCGTGCCCGGCCCCAGGCGGGGTGTCCAGGTGATGGGGGTGCAGCCCTCAGTGTGTCTCCCCTGTGCTCTGCTCTCCAGGAGAAAGAAGACAAAGCCCAGCTGCAGGCAGAGGTGCAGCACCTGCGCGAGGACAACCTGAGGCTGCAGGAGGAGTCCCAGAGCGCCTCGGACAAGCTGAAGAAGTTCACAGAATGGGTCTTCAACACCATCGACATGAGCTAGGGCAGGCCCGGGAGGCGAGGCAGGGCAAGCCCCTCAGAGCGCTGCCCCGCCCCTGCCTCGCCCCCTCCGGCCTGCACAACCAACCGCAGCAGATCAGCAGTCCTCACCTGCCTTTTGTAGAAAAGAAAAAACAAAAAAAATTTTAAAGAGTAAAATAAAAGTTTAACTGCTAAAATGTGAATGTTTTTATTTTTTTGCACACTATCTTTACCTGTTATGTATTTAAAGAGAAACTGGGCCGAGGCCCGGGGCCCCCTGGCCCATCTGCCTATCTCCACCGCTTCCTTATCTACTTCAGGTGACCCCAGCTTTCCCCGTTTCCCCGACAGATGTCACTGCTCCTAGGACAAGGCAGGGTGTCCTTGTCTTCTCACCGGGGGAGTGAGGAAGGGTACTCGCTTACCTCCTTTCCTAACATGTCTGGCGAGGAAGGTGCCAAGAGAGCACCCTCCGCCCGGAGTGGCTCGTGCACCTGCCCCCCAGGCCACAGCAGACTCCGGCCTCCTGGAAGCGCTGGTCGGGAAAGCCCCAGGCGCCTTCCCTGGCCTGCGCTGACGGCACCTGCTGCCCCGGCCTCTCCCCTGGGCAGGGTCCCAGAGCTGCCCTCACAGCTGGGTCTCGTCTCTGGCTGAAGGGAGCAGCACCTCATTGGAATCAAGTCCCAACAGTTCACTTCCCCCAGAGTGAAACCTTATACCTGTGTTCATTTTCGGCCAAAAGCGTATATTGTTTTTGTTTGAAATGTTTCGAGATAAAAATGTGGCACAATAGTATTTTTTAGCCTGCTCAAAATGACTTCCTAAATTACTAAATCTTCCTCTCCAAATCAAGGCGTCACTGGTATTTGTAACTAGGAAAAAACCTAGCGGTGACGGGGCAGTTGTGAGTGCGCCTGCTTGCCTGTTAAGCAACGGCTGCTCACCAAGTGGCCTCTTGACAAGCTGCGCGGGGCCTGTGGGACCCCAGCACGGTCTCATCCGCGCCCTCTTGTGGTCATCCCGAGGATTCTGCCACAGGAATCCCTGGAGGCCGTGCTGATTCTCCCAGCCAGGGACACAGGCTGCTTTGGGTCCTCACAGCTGTGGCGCGCAGACAGAGGGCCAGAAGAGACCCCTGGTTTCTCGCCCTCATACTTGTCACTCAGCTGCCGCCTCTGCCTCTCCGGTGGCCACCCTGGTCTGGGGGGTTCAGGCACCAGCTGGCTCCTCTCCAGGAAACGCAGGAGGATTCCCTCCTCCCCCGCCCCTTCCCCACCACCAGGTTTTTATGCTACAGTTTCATTCATGATTGTGATTTTCCCATGGGATTTTTTTTTTTTTTTTTGGTGACATTTCTATCATGGAAATAGGAAGATTTCGGAATGCTTTGTAAAGATTAACCGTCTGTCTCTTTCTCTGATTTGTATGAAGGAGATTGTACATTGCCTGATACCTATTTGTAAATGAGAAACACTGCTAACATCCAAGCATTCTGAAGTCTGGCTTACCTTTCTGAGTTTAGTTTTCATTTTGTTTTACCTTTTGTTCGGGGACTTGGGGCAAGCTATTTATTAGAGTTTTGCAACAGAATTCTTGTTTGAAGCCTCTAAAGACTACTTGTAAAATTCAGACAATAAAATTGATTTTAAACGCTCTTTTAAAATGCATTGGTCTTATTTCGTGAAGCATCCTTTGAAACACCACTCAGTCCCTTTGGCCCTCCTTGCAGCCCAGGGTTTTCGTCAAGTCCATGAACACCAGATAACTGTCTGTGCCTTTCAGACCCAGAAGAAGCCCTTTTGCCCTCTGTCTGCCCGTCCGCAGAGAAGCCCTGGTTGCAGTCTCTGCTTCTGAGCTCACACTCACAGAGCGCCTCGCAGTTACTTCCCTCTTGGCCGCCCCCGTGTGGGCTTCCAGTAAGGACACCGATTCCTGGACCACCGAATGCACCACCCTCTCCCCACCAGCTCTCGGTGTCAGATGTCAGGCGCCCCAGGAGTACAAATGCCTGCTAACAGTCAACTGTGCAGAATATAATTAGAGAAGTTAATTTACTCAGGGAAAAAAAATCAGTGCAGCCGTTTTTAAAACTCCAACCTGGGGACTGCACTGTGGCATAGTGGGTGAGGCTGCCGCCTGCAGTGCCGGCATCCCATATGGGCACTGGTTCTAGTCTCAGCTGCTCCACTTCCCATCCAGCTCTCTGCTGTGGCCTAGGAAAGCAGTAAAAGATGGCCCAAGTGCTTGGGCCCCTGCCCCCAGGTGGGAGACCCAGAGGAAGCTCCTGGCTCCTGGCTTTGAATGGGCCCAGCTCTGGCCATGATGGCCATTTGAGGAGTGAACCAGCGGATGGCAGACTTCTGTCTCCTTTCTCTGCACCTTTGCCTCTGCCTCTCTAACATTGCCTTTGAAATGAATAAAAAAAAAAAAAAAAAAAAAAAAAAAAAAAAACCTCTACCACAGCACTGTTCCTCTCCAGTAGTGCAGCTAATTGAGAGCCAGCAATATTTTCTTCCTTTTATTCGCTCCAGCAGTTCTACAAATTCTAGAATGACAAGACCAGAATGAGACTGGATGCCTCAAGATATTCAAAGACGACAAACAGGTCTGTTAGACTGATTGTATTTTTTTAAGTGTTATTTAAAGAGTTACACAGATGTGTTTCTGTGTGGGTGCAAACTGTTGAAATCTTAATATACACTAAATTGATCTGTATATAAAGATAATTGAAAGTGAATCATGATGTGAATGGGATGGAAGAGGGAGAGGGAGATGGGAGGGTTGCGGGTGGGAGGGGAAGTTATGGGGGAGGGGGAAGCTACTGTAATCCAAAAGCTGTACTTTGGAAATTTATATTTACTAAATAAAAGTTAAAAAGTAAAAAAAAAAAGTTACACAGAAAAAAGGAGAGGCAGAGAGAGATCGGTCTTCCATCCACTGCTTCACTCCCCAGATGGCCGCAACGGCCCGAGCTGCACCGATCAGGAGCCAGGACCTTCTTCCAGGTCTCCCACATGGGTGCAGGGGCCCAAGGACTTGGGCCATCTTCTACTGCTTTCCCAGGCCATAGCAGAGAGCTGGATCGGAAGTAGAGTAGCCGGGACTCGAACTGGCACCCATATGGGATGCAGGCACTGCAGGTAGCAGCCCTACCTGCTTGCCACAGCGCCGGCACCACAGACTGTCCTGATTTGGAGGGTCTTTTATAATTATTGTTGCTATTGGTTTGGGAGTTCCTGGGGGAAGAGCCATTGGCTTGGCTTGATGGAGGATCTTCACCCGGGTGCTGACTGCAGAGGCCAACTGCTTGTGCTACACACCTGCTGCGGGTGCAACCTGAATTGGGTCACTGCCTCCTTAGATTCCGATAAAGGTGATGGCTCAAAGGCAAAGGAAACGGGCCCAGCAGCCTGGGCAGTTTTCCTCCAATTGTAGGGCAAAGACCTGAACCCAGATCCCGATCTCGCAGCGCAGTGGTCCAGCAACTATCCAGAACCGCTTCCCAGTATGAACGAAAAGTGTACACCTTGTTCAAGCCCAGAGAACCAGTAAACACCGGGCGGGCATGTTCACCAAGAACTGGGTGGTTTGAAAGCGCGATACCTCGGCTGACCTTGCATGTGCGCTTCCCACGTAAGAATGTTGCAACGATGGATCCGTGCCTAGGAGTCATGCTGTGGTGACAAGAACATGTGACTTAGGCTGGGCTCAGATTCCACCCGTCTGTGTCCTTGGGCAAATGACCTAATCTGACCACGATTGCATCATCTGGTCAACGGCAGCAGCCCCTTGTTCGAGGTACTAAAGGTGCCTGGGTGTCAGGCCAGGAAATCAAAAGCTGCACACTCAAAAAAAGATGTTTTCCTGTGTGGCCCAAGGTCTTTTTGTTTGTTTTCCAGGAGAGAGTCCTGACTCACAGCAGAATGGGATGGGACAGGCAGAGGGAACTCCTCTGCTTGGCTTAGTATCAGTTGGGTGCGTTTAACCCTGGTATCTTAGCACGGCCCTTCTCAATCTTGAGCTCAGGTCAGGATCCCAAGGAGAGTTTGGTACACCTCCAATCCTTGGCTGCAACCCCTGGAGCTGCGATTCCAGGCCTTGCACTTGCTACAAGTTCCCAGGTAACCTGGGCCTCCCTTTGGAAGTGGGGTTTGGAGGACGGGGTTAACAGGAGGGCGACCACAAACAGCAGCAGCAAGGGGAACAGGTGCAGGGACCTCCTACGTGTCCACACCACTGTAGGGGCCTGCTGCGCACCCTGCGCACCCTGCAGGGGATCGGCTTCAATGGTAGCAACAGTTCAGCCGCCTGCAAAGTAGACTCGAAACTCCCTTTTCGGCTTCACTTGCAGATTTCAGATCTCTTCGTTGCCCCATGGGGCTGGGATGCCGTCACCATTAACTATAGGAGAAGACATCTTGAGGTCGGGTCTGGTCTTGAGGGGTTTATTCTGGTTTTTGCTTTGTTTTCATTTTTACAGGAAACCCTGGCCCTGTGCAAAAAGTAACTCCGTCCCCCCGAGACAGACTGGAGCCCACTTTGTCGTCATCTGAACTCCTGAGAGAACACGGTGGCCGTCCTGTCACTGATGAAGAGGACCTGGAGCAGGTGAACCAGCCGGAGACCTGCACGCGCTAAGCACACACCGCAGCCCCGGCGCTAAGCACACACCGCAGCCCCGGCTTCAGCAGGATTCCTGACCCTCGGGTCCTCGGCAGTAAGGAGGCGGCAGCAGCTCAGACCCCTCGTCGCGGGCCTTGCAGGGTACAGGCCACCTTCTCCCCTGCCCTGGTGCCAGGGATTGACGCAGAGGGTGCTGGGCAAACAGACGCACACCTTTCGGGGCTCTGCAACAGCTCACAGCAGTCTCCAGGAACCTAGCAGACTATCACTTCCACACCGGCCCAGTCCATTACTGCACTCAGTGTCCCGGCTGCACGGTAGCTCATTTTCTTTGCTATTACCCAGAGTAAGAAGAAAGGGGGTGGGGGCAGCGCGGAGGCGTAGCAGGTAAATCCGCTGCCTGCAGCCAGCATCCCGTGTGGGTGCTGGTTCAAGTCCCAGCTGCTCCACTTCCCATCCAGCTCTCTGCTGTGGCCTGGGAAAGCAGTAGAAGATGTGCTTGGGCCCCTGCACCTGCGTGGGAGACCAGGGGAGGCTCCTGGCTTTGGATCGGCGCAGCTCTGGCCATTGTGGCCATTGCCATTTAGGGAGTGACCAGCAGATGGAAGACTTCTCTCTTCCTCTGCCTCTCTGTAACTCTGCCTTTCAAATAAAACATATTTAAATAAAATAAAATGGCAGAACTCATCCCATGTTTAAAAAAAAGAACAACCAGCAGCAGCAGCAAAGGGAAGAAAGCAAGGGTTCCCCGAGCAGAGAGCTACACCGGCGGGTTCCTTCTCCTCTGCTGCCGTGGCCCCTTCATTGCGCTCTGCCTTCCTTGCCTGCGCCTGCCCTGCCTGCGCCCTCCCTCAGGTCGAACTTCTTCCATCCATCTCTGCACCCGAGTCGTCACGCTGGGGGCCCGGGAGATCTCGCCTCCCTTCCCCTCATCACAGGCTCGTTGCTCCGTCTCTCAGCTGCCTTCCATTACTTTCCCTAAATGAGTGCGGCTCGCTGCGCTGTTCAAACGGCACCTCTGCAGGCACAGCGCCGCCTTCGGGCGCACGGCCCTTTGTACCCCGCAGTCCCCACCCCTTGCAACCCCTTTTCAACCAGAGAATGAATCTCCCAGACAAAACGTCCTGAGCTCTGGGTGCCTTGCTCCCTGTCCACGGACACATGCTTCCCTCCCGGGGTCTCACGACACATTGCACAGGGGCAATTTCCAGGCCTTAACCCAAGGGCTTCGTTCTTTTAAATGGGCTGCTTGCCCCCACACCTGTTAGATCCAGCAGCTCATCCCTGAATCATGAGTTCATCCAGCCACATCTCTCCCAGGCATTTCTGTAACTCGGCATTTAAGGGAAGCTTCATGCTGTGGCCACCTGCCAATCAACGCCAGCTCCCTGTGTGCCAGAAGTGTAATGGCTTGGAAGGGTACGGTTCTGCACTCCAACACCACTGCCTCCACCCTGCCTTGAGCTCTCTGCACACATTTAGGGAACCCAGTAAGTAGACATTAGAAAGGGGTGTCCTGTAGCTCCCATCATCCGACCCAAGGAAGCCATTTCCTTCCCCCAAACACCCCCCCCAACACACACACACACACGTGTGCACACACACACAGTGACCGGTGTTCCTGGGAGTGAGAGATCTTCAGTGTTCTTGAGAAGGGAGATCTGTTCGGATTCAAACAGCAAGCTCTAAGTTTCTAGTAAAGCAGCCTGGGGGTGGTGGATCAGGCGCTTGTCTGAGGGCAAGGTGGGATGGATGTGTAACTCACTCTAGCCGTTTTCTCCAGAGTCTACTCTTGAGAAAATACTCTTACGGGTGTTTTAAAGCAGTCCTTCGAAGCTTAAACATTGCTCTGCAACAAGTAGGTGCAGCAGACTGAGTGCTGCAGCCCAGCCGGTGTAGACACAGCGAGTTAAGCAGGCTCTGCCAGGAAGCCACGTCCCTGAAACACATTAGCTTCTGCAGCAGGACACCAGCAAGGTGGGGTGTGAGGGTGTCAGCAAACATTCCCAAGTCCAGAGGAGATGGCTGGGGCAGGCCCTCACTGCTCAGGGCACTTAAGTATCTGACAAACAGTGTGTGCTCAGCCTTGATGGCTGCTGTCCTCGTGAAGTTTCCCCTTGACAGCAGGGACTCCGTTTTGGTGCACCCGAGACTCCACCTTGAGGAAGCACACACCTCCCCACCCCCACCACCATGATTCTGGTCTCAAACTACCATCTCAAGCACTCAGACAACAGCAGTCCCCTCCATCGCACCTGGCAAAGCACAGAAACCCCCCAGCATGGTCGCTCAGGCGTGGAAGCGGATAGGCTGCACCTGGGTTCATAAGCTTGTAATTCGTCTTTGTCTACATGATCTAGGCCAATACCTGGATTTACGTCAAGATTGATTAAAATTGTTAAGATTGTAACTAGTATTGTTAAGATTATAATTGATATTAGTTTTACACAGGCTTTAGGTCAGCTTGACCCTAGTAACCATGCGTTTCCCCTCCCGATTTTGTGGTTTCTGCCTTTATAAGCCCTGTTGCTTTGGGCTTCGGGGTCGAGAGTTCTTTAAGGCATGAGCCCACTCTCCACCGCCGGCAACAAAGGACCATCAAATTGTATCAGTGTGTGGTGCGCCTCTGCACTCGCTCAGGCACAGCGGCAGGACCCAGGTTACGTGGCGCCGACTTCCTGCGCTCGGTGCTGACCGAGTGGTCTCCGAGCTTGCAATGAGGCGGCCCAGGAGCCCCTCTGCAAAGACACCACTCTCTGCTCTTAGGAGCCCCGGCTGGGAGTCGGCCAAGACCAGGGGGGAGCTTCCAGGCTCACAGCTCCACGGCCCAGGCCAGGAGTGCCCTCCTCCCACGCCGCTGCCACGAGGCCACCCCCTGCATTTGGGCACACCCGGCGCCGAGGGACCCCTGGTTGGACTTCAACTCTTAACTCCCCCTTTTCCTCCGGGAAAACCCACTTCCCTTTCCCTCTTCGCCACTTGGCCCAGTCCCCGTCACTTCAGATTGCACAGGGCTCTCTTCCACGGCAATGACCATGACCACACCGGACAAGCTCCACTCCTCCCAACACCATTTCCTCCCTGGGGTAAAACATCCGACCTCTCGACTTCTCCCCGGATGTCATGACGTCCAGCCCCCCTCCCCCCACACATAATCACATACAACACAGATGATGCACACCAGCAAGTCCTCGCAAGTCCTCGCTGCCAACACCCCCACTTTACAGAGCAAGACGCCGAGCCCGAGAAACGACAGGAGGCTGGTCTGCAGTCACACAGCTGTCCAGGGTGGAGCTGGGATTCAGACCAGGCCCCCGGCCCCTGAAGCAGCGAGGAACCAGTACTTCCTCCATCTCAGCGGTGCCCACCTGTGAGTCTGCACAGCCAGGCCGCACAGGGACCTTGCCCAAGGCACCCCGACCTCTGCACAGTTGGTTCCAACAGGGCCAGGGGATAGGGACGGTGACTCAGTGTCCCTGAAGGGAGGGGGCCACTTCTGGGGGCTCTTGGAAAAAGGGACCTCCAGAGTGAGTTCATTTTTTTTTCAATTTTTGACCATTTTCAGAATACAGTGTCATCACCCAAGGTCCAAAATCATTTCAACAACACATTAAATATAATTGGATGTTAAAGATCGGTCTGTCAACACAATGCCTGTGACGCCACATTTGCCCGTGGCGCTCTCGTGAAAAGCCACCCTCATGCCTTAGCGGCCACCAAGGCCTCAGCTCTGCCTCCCGGACTGTGAGCGGTGCGGAGCCCACACAGTATGGGCGCACAGTCAACAGCTGTGAGGGCCTCAGGGGGGCCGGCTCAACCTTGACCCAGTGCTGAGCGTGATCACTCCGAGTGAGGTGCAGCAGCGGCCACACGCGCAGGGGCCTTCTCCGCTAGGTGCCAGCCAAGTTGGACCATAGGTCTGGGCAGGAAAGACCGGACGTCCCGCCTCCTAACACAGGAGATGTGCTCCCCGCGGGGGAGCCATTCAGAGAGACACCTTCCCGTCCGGTCCTGGGCCAGGGCGGCTCTGAGCTGCCCGAGCAGTGGTTCTCAGAATTACTGCATCGGCACCACCTGGAGAGGTTACTTCAATTCTCATTGAACTCCAGGCTTAGAAACGACAGGGCATAAAGAGTTGATGGAGCTTAAGCTGCTGCCTGCAACACCGACATCCTCTTTGAGCACTGGTTCAAGTCCCAGCTGCTCCACTTCCAATCCAGCTCCCTGCTAATGCACCTGGGAAAGCAGCGGAAAATGGCCCAAATGCCTGGGTCCCTGTCCCCAACATGGAGAGACCCGGATGGAGTTCCAAGCTCCTGGCTTCAGCCTGGCCCAGACCAGGGCCCTTGCAAGTCAATTGGAGAGTGACCCAGTAGATGGAAGATCTTTGTCTCTCCGTCATTCTCCATTAACAAACCTTTTCTTAAAAAGTTGATGGGAAATGGAATTTAAAGATAATACAGAGCTCTATCAACTTTTTAATTTAAAGGCAGAGTGATGGGGGAGAGAGACAGAAAGGGAGCTATTCCATCTGCTGGTTCGTCCTCAAATGGCTGCAACCCCCGGCAGAAGCCAGGTGCCTGGTGCTCCATCCAGGTCTCCCACGTGGGTGGCAGGGGCCCCTGTACTTGGGCCATGCTCTGCTGCTTGCCCGGGTGCTTCAGCAGGGAGCTGCATCAGAAGCAGAGCAGCTGGGACTTGAATCAGGGCTCCCATCTGGGACGCCAGCATCGCAAGTGGTGGCTTAACCTGCACCACGGTGCCCGCCCTTGTCCATCAGCTTTTTAAAGGCCCCTTGGAGGCCCCAGCTGGAGCATCTTACAAGTAGCTCTCGTGTTTATGGCCTGGGTGGCCATGAAACTGCTCTTTCAGAAACTCTGCCCGTGGCTTTCCAAGCCCTGGGCCAGCTCTTCTGAGCCAGGGAGCAGCAGATTGTGCCTAGGTGTGAGACGGGAAGGTGTTCCCGGGTTTGAGACGCCTGGACGCTCTGCCGCTCTGACCCCACCCTCCCAAGACAAGGGCCGGTGGTTCTCAGCCTTGCCACACCAGGTTTTCCTTTTTGTAACCACGAAGCCTTGCTTAGCCCATGCCAGTTACAGCCTTTGCTTCAAAGCCAGCTTCCCAATAACCTCTATGAGCCACCTCCCTCTACAGGACCAACCGCAACATCAAGTTCACAGTGGGGCCTGAGAGCAGCTCTAACAATCCCCCTGCTGGGTCTGTATCACGACTCCAAAGCTGCTCGCTACTTTCAGTGATCAGAAAGACTTCCAGGTTGATACCCCTAGGTTTGCCTGTCAGGGAACCACACCCCATGGCCCTGCACACAGGAGCAAAACAAGCACAGATCCCAAGTGCAAACCCCAGCAAAAGTCCACAACCCCCACCCCCAACCCCCACCCCCACCCCTGACTGCCAGCCGAGTGCTGCTTCCTGTCTGAAGCCCCGCCTCCAGCCAGCATTCTGGGTACCAACGGCCACCAAAAAGTCAGGACTTAAACAGCCGGTGATTACATACCGCTCCGTGGGCCAGGAACCCAGGCAGGGCTCCGCTGGGCGATCTCTTGCTCCGTGGGGCACGGACTGGAGTGGTTCCGCGGTCCCGAGCTGCCAGCGGGGCTGGTTTGGGGTCCACAGTGGTGCACTCACAACCCCGAGCACCTTGAAGGGGACGG